AACATGGGGCCTGGGGTTTAAACTGGCCCCGCTCCGGGGGGGCCTATATACAGGTGAGCGACTTCATGGCCATCATGGCCCTCTTGTTGTAAATTTGTCCAGTTGAAGTCAAAATTAAAGACAATTAGAAGGAAACACTTGTTTGTTTTTATGCCACCGCAGCATCTGCGATGCGGTGGCATATAGTGATTCACCTGTGTGTGTGTGTGTTTGTTTGTTTGTTTGTGTGTGTGTGTGTTATATAGATTATATAGTGAACTTAAAAAATCTTCTTGTGAAAAACCACTTGTCCAATTTCAACCAAACTTTGCAGGATTGATCATTGGGTGAAGGGCTTCCAAAGTTGTTCAAAGAATTTAATTCCATGCAGAAATCTGGTTGCCATGGCAACCAAAAGGAATTATAAGAATAAATTTAAAAATCTTCTTGTAAAGACCCAAAAGGCCTAGAGCTGAGATATTTTGCATAAGGCATTGTCTGGTAGACCTCTACCAAGATTGTTCAAATTATAGCCCTGGGGTCAAAATGGGCCCAGCCCCGGGGGTCATTGATTTTCACTATATGTACATATAGTAAAAACTTAAAATACCTTTTTGTAAAGACCCATAGGCCTAGACCTTAGATATTTTGCATAAGGCATTGTCTGGTAGACCTCTACCAATATTGTACAAATTATAGCCCTGGGGTCAAAATCAGCCCTGCCCCGGGGGTCATGGATTTTCACTATATGTACATATAGTAAAAATTTAAAATACCTTCTTGTAAAGACCCAAAAGGCCTAGAGCTTAGATAATTTGCATAAGGTATTGTCTGATAGACCTCTACCCAGATTGTTCAAATTATAGCCCTGGGGTCAAAATCCGCCCAGCCCCGGGGGTCATTGATTTTCCTCATATTTGCATAGTAAAAACATATAGTAAAAACTTTAAAAAAAATTCTTCTAGCAATTGACAAATTAGATACTTTGCATGAAACATTGTGAAGTGAACCTCTAGCAAGAATGTTCAAATAATAGCCCTGGGGTCAAAATTGCCCCCGCCCTGGGGTCATTGATTTTCAATATATACATATAGTAAAAAAAAGAATCTTATTGTCTGAAGGTACAAGGCTTAGAGCTTTAATATTTGTTAAATGATATCATCTATAGGTACTCTACCAAAGTTGTTCAAATTTTGCCTCTAGTGTCAAAATTAAAAGTGAACTTTGATATCAGCTGACCTAGATTTTGACAAAGTGTATTACATGTTGTCCTTTGATGCAGTCATGAAATTTTAGGCTGTGTGAAATATGACCTTCACCACCAAATTCACTAGACTCAAGTGCATTGATATATTCCTACTCTGATCTTTTATTGAGTTAACAATAGATTTAACCACTAATCTGATAATAAGAATTAGATATGCATTATGACAATCTTCAATTGTATAGAAACAAAAAAATCTGTTCCTACACTACTATTTAGTGTTGTATTATTGCGGTGGCATAGCATTTTTCTCAAATGCAATCTTGTTTATTTTTCCTAAAACATACTACTGTTCAACTTAATATCAAACAAAATCATAAACACTTAATTGTTTAGCAATAATGTTAACATAAAGTAAGAATATATCTCTTGTGAAAATTAAAAAGACTTAGTCATTGAGTTTCACTACAAAATGGTATCATACATAAATCAAATGTCCCATACATTACATATAATTGTTCTTATGTTACTTACTCAAATGACTGTTTCAAATAATCATTTTGTCTAATAAAACATTAGTAGGTCAGTCTTCCATGATCTGATCTAGTGCATACCTTTTCGATAAGACCAAAAACATTATCCTTGACAGTAAACAAACTTGTGTACACATTTTGTAAACATTCTCATGTAAAAAGTATGATATTTTATTTTATTCACATGATATATATAAAACATAACAAGAGAACAAGAACTACTTTCACAAAACGTTTGATAGACAACACTTATAAACATACTGCTTGCTAAACTGTAACAAAAAAATTTTTTTTTAGATATTTTCATTTTTGTCCCGTACGTAAGCTTTACAGTAAGGGCCATATCGCTTGTACTTGAAACAATATTTTCTCTCGTTGGAGGCACGTGCTCATCGGATTCTTCATTTTCATTATGAAATTGTTTTGCTCCTTGGTTATTTCTCCTCTTTCCCCTGTATCGTACCTGTCTGATTCTATTTAACTTTCTCACACGCTCCCTCTACTTTGAATCCATTTCAGAGAGAAAGGTACTCGAGACCTCTTGACCCTTCAATCACTGTCCACCTGGAAGCGCCCTTTACTCCCGCATCCTTTGTGCTTTAGATTTTGCCATCCTGAAACGCACATAAAAAGATCATTCTACAAAACTACCTCTCATAAAAGGAATGTACGGGACAATCACTTCATAACATACGGAAAAACTTTATATTATAGCAGATCATATGTATTAACATTTTCTATTGTAATGTAGAGAGACATTCGACAGAATAAGTTCTACCTTATGTAGGGCACACATTGTCGATATTTAACTTTTTCAACAATCAGCGTTTCTCCTCGCAAGCTTCATATTGGGTGATGTTACCCAAGGATACCCACTCTCCTGTCGTTGTGCCAGGTGAAGGTGTGGCACTTTGATGTGGGGTCTCATCATTGTTGTCAGTAATTTCAGGCATGTCTTCTGTAGGGAGCTGAAATGTTACATTTAATATATGTATAAGCAAGGATTTGATTGTGCCAACATTCAAGCAAATGTAGAATGCATTAAACTGTCCAAGTACATATAAAAATTGGAACGTACTGTTATTGTTGTTTTGTTCATCATGTGTTGACAGTCCCTTTATTTTGAAACACAGACTTCCCTCCTTTTTCCACACTTATCCAATCGCCAACCTTTAATGATTGATGGGTAGCGGCATGCTTGCCCCACAAGGATATTGGTATTATACCTGTTTGGTCTTTTACTCGAAAGTTGAGCAACTCTTTGTCCTCACCTGTCCTGTTTATTCCAACTTTTTGAAGAGGTCTGATCTATTAAACAGAGATAAGTTTAGCTTCAGAGCAAAATATTAACAATCCACAGTGTTTGTAATTTGTCAACATTGTGAAATAATGTCAAAGAACTATATATCTGTGGGTTATATATTTGAGGCTAAGTGTTTTAACAATGTTTTTCACTGAACAACATATTTCTACTCATGCAATGGAATTTTCAAAAAAAAGGAGCAAACATCATTCTTTGAATGGGAACAATGTAACATACATTTGTAATGAGGTGTCAGATGCATTTAATAGAGGTGTCATCGATAAGGATTTTTGTATCGATATATCGGTAATGAATTATCGGCAGTACAGCGATATATCGATTGTCAGGCTCAATTTTAGCTTTAGAGTCTTTTTAAATGTTTTCTAAGGACACTGACAAAGCAATTATATTAAGACAAATGCAAAAAAGATAAACTATGAAAACTGAACAATTTGTTTTATCATATAGCTATAAATGAAAACTAATGACTAGTAACTATAAAGTTTAAAGCCTTTTCCATTTTACTTTAGTTGTTGTTGTTGCTATTATGAAGTTACTGATCATGCTAAATCCCGTCCTTGCCGTTCCAATTAAGCCGGGTTTAATTGGCAAATTATAGTGTTTAGAACCTGAATAATTATTTTAGTTTAACATTTTGTAATCATAATTTTTACAAAGAAATACTGACACATTTTCCTTGGCATTTTCCCTTGAATGCTTGAAATCTGAATTGAGGGGTCTTGACATCCAATTAGCAGACATGTAAGTAAGTAAGTAAGTAGCATGCGAGATTACAACGAAATTAGGCAGCATTTGTTAGAGACAATGGGAGTAACTTTGGCATTAATTTCCGTTTTCATTTTAGAAAAAAATGTTGCTGTCAGGCTTATGGACATATGGATATGTCATGAGAAAATACAGGTCAAGTTCGAATTTGGTCATGGTTCGATGATTTTTGGCAGAGTTATGCCCCCTTTACTTTGAAAATAATATGAAATTTCAGTTTCCGTTCATTATCTCCCCAACGGTACAACACATTCAACTCAAACTTGACATATGGATATGGCATGAGAAAATACAGGTCAAGTTTGAATTTGGTCGTGGTTCGATGATTTTTGGCAGAGTAATGCCCCTTTTACTTTGAAAATAATATGAAATTTTCAGTTTCCGTTCATTATCTCCCCAAAGGTACAACACATTCAACTCAAACTTGACATATGGATGCGTCAAAGGAATGCACAGGTCAAGTTCAAATTTGGTCATGGTTCGATGATTTTTGGCAGAGTTATGCCCCTTTTACTTTGAAAATAATATGAAAATTTCAGTTTCCGTTCATTATCTCCCCAACCGTACAACACATTCAACTCAAACTTGACATATGGATATGTCATGAGAAAATACAGGTCAAGTTCGAATTTGGTCGTGGTTTGATGATTTTTGGCAGAGTTATGCCCCTTTCACTTTGAAAGTAATATGAAATTTACAGTTTCTGTTCATTATCTACCCAACAGTGTTACATATTCAACTTAAATTTGACATATGGATATGTCAAAGGAATGGGCAGGTCAAGTTGGAATTTGGTCATGGTTTGATGATTTTTTTGGCAGAGTAATGTCCTTTTCACTTTGAAAATAATATAGATACATCTTAGGAATAAGCAGTTTAAGTTTGAATTTGGTTGTGGTTCAATGATTTTAGACAAACTTATCCTTCCTGAATGTTGGAAAAATTTTGAACTTTCAGTTTCAGCACTCATACTTTTAGCCATTATTTTGGCTACAAATATGCAATATGCTATTTTTAAAAGGTTAAGACTGAATAATTTCAGTGCCTTGAACATTGTATGTCAATGGTTTGTGTTAATATTGAAAAGTTTTAAGGGCTTTGAACTTAAAATGAAAAAAATAATTAATGCACCATCTTTTTTTTTTGTGTGGGGGGGGGGGGGTTGTTTATAAAGAGAAGTTTTTCTCAACCCGTGCAGAAAATGAACAGGAAATCCTGAGACGATCCCAGGAAATCTTGAGAGGTCTCAGGAATTTGTCCTGAAAAAATCACAGGATTTCCTTGGATAATCCTGAGACTTTTTTCATGCTGTTAAATGGGACTCCAAATATCTTGAAGACAGGAAAAGAACAGGAACAATTATGACAGAGCTGTCCTATAAAGTCTTGTTCTCAGGAATGTCCTGTAATCCCAGGAATGTCCTGTTCTCAGGACAGTCAGATTATCCCAGGAATGTCCTGTTCACAGGACAATCAGATTATCCCAGGAATGTCCTGTTCCCAGGACTGTCCCATAATCCCAGGAATTCCTGTTCCCAGGACAGTCACATTATCCCAGGAAAGTCCTGTTCCCAGGACAAATATTTTTTTAATGTGGATAACAACAACTTCAGAAATTGGTTCTGAAAATTAAAATTTATTAAAAATGTTAGTTTTATAATGAACAGTGTCATGTCATCAATTTTTCTCAACATCTCCATGCTTGCGGCGTATGAGTTTCAGCCTGTCTCGCATCTTCATTCGTATAGCTGTCACAGGAACACAAAATTTCTGTGTCAAAATACCTGAAAAAAAAAGAAAATAGATCATAGCTCATAATCTTTCATTGATAATTACTATAAAAACAGTAATCACCAGTTACTTAAGCAAACATTTTCTAAATAGTCTTTTAAGCTTATATTATATTGCTCACTTGCTTGGTTTTGACCACTTTTTTGTAAGAGGCATCCGTGGCTGAGTGGTTATGGTCACTTGCCTCTCACTGCTGTGGGTTCAAATCCAGACAGGATTTGTATTCTTATATGAGAGGAATTCATCCAACTAGCTAACAGAATGTCAGTTGTTGTACGAAAGGGCAACTGAATTCTTCCTCCACCAGCAAAGCTGGAATGTTGCCATATGACCTTTTCTATGTTGGTGTTATGTAAAACCAAATCAAATAAAAATTTATTGTTTTATGTTTTAGCTACAGATAATATAATGGCTATGCTGCCTCTTGGGACAGGTTGCTGAATTTGATTCTTTTAGGTGATAAAGTTATTCGCAGCTAGTTTACGGGTTGGTGATCCTCAGCTTTAAAGTGCTTGAAAGGGCACCTGAGGTCAAGCAAAGCAGGATAGATAACATGTGTACTTTAAAGTGTTGTATAATGTGTGCCATTTTGTGCTGATCAAAATTGCTTGAAGAATATGGATTTAATCATCACATAAACTCACTAAATAATGAAGACTACACTCATTTGTGCGCAAAATGGGGTTGGTATAAGAAAACAATGCAAACCTTCAATTGTAGATCTCTTTTGCGAGTCCAGTCCTGGTTTTCCAAGAGATTTCCCGGAATCAATGCCCATTACACTTGAGTTTATTAGTTCTTCAGTGGAAAATACTTCATTTAGAAGCATATCCACTCCACTACTTAAAGAACAGCTCTTCTCAACAAGATCTTTGAGCCTGTCTTCATCTAGGTCCTGAAAAGATTTAAAATGACAATATATGGATTTACCTAAGATTTATTATTCATTCCAGTCATTTTTTATGATGCTTAGACAAGTGATTATTTTTAAATAAATGATTTAGAACAATTGTTATTCAATTAGAGCAAACACTGCCACGGCACTAAATGAACATCCCTTGTTTCAGGGTATGCCTTAAGGCATCCTGAATTCCTTGCATAACAACATAAAATGTCCTGAATAGCCAGAGTTATTAAGTACATATTACATATCCTGTTGTGAAAAGAAACTGTTCAAAATTATAATTCTATTTGTATATTACTTACAAAAGGAACTGTACTTAATGTAGCTTCAGTATGTGTTCTTTTTTGATCCCTGTTCATCTTCTGAAAAAAAGTACAATTACAAGTTAGAACACATTAAAAATATATTATAAAATATACCTTTAATCTGTACCTGTAACCGCCTGGCCCTTGAAAGTAAATGGCATTTATTTTTTTCTTAAATATACTAGTAGGTAACTGCTTTTTGTCTATTTGTAACATTTTAATCAGTAAAACCTTGTGATTTTAAATGGTGTGTGCTGTCAATCAGAGCAAGATCAATCTCAAGCGTTGTATGTACTATGTAGACACAAGTTTGATCCCGACTATAAAGTAGGAAGAAAGTTGATGGGAATTAACAAAATTATGTTGTCTATGCATATAAGGTACGTGAAATAATTCAACAAATTTGATCAAACAATTTTTGCAGACAGACACAGCTGTATGTTAATCTAGTTTTCCAGGTCAAATTCTACTTTAAGCCTAAAAATTTGTCACAATTGACAGTAGTATTACCTTTTTCTGTCTTGCCTCTTCTGCCTGTTCTAAAGCGAACACCCGTTGAGTCAGTTGCTCTATTATGTCACAACAACTGTGGCACCTGGTGTAGTCTTGTTGCTGGAAAGTATTGTGCCTTGTACCCTGGCTAATGTTGTTGACACCTTGATGACTGTAAAAAGGTGCTGCAAATGCAGACACATTTTCATTAGACATACTCCAGCTTTGTCCTATCAAAACAAACACACAGCATTGTTTAAAACTTAACTATCTTACATTACATAATTTAAGTATTTCTGAGAAGTTGTGTTGTCTAAACTATAACTGATGAAAATACCAAGTACCTTTCAATACTTTTTTCCTTTGTTTATAGTTGTGTACATAGTAGTGACAGTAAAGCACACAAAGAAAGTTTTTAATTATTATTATAAGCGTTTTCAACATTTTTCTTTTTTGTATCTTTTATGTATGAACTCAAATAAATGAAATGAAATAAATACAGGAAAATTTTCTTTTTGTGATTATAACTTACCATAATCATACCCAGCAAAAGGAGGTTGTGAACAGCTATTTAATTGTTCTGTGAAGGTTTGATTTGATGTTGGTGTAAACTGCAGAGAGTTCGCTCCAGGTGGCAAAAACTGAGTGTTTGATACAGGAGGAACCATTGTATTGAATCCAGGTTGGGGTGTTGAGGTTGATACAGGTGTGAGAACTTCATTTCGTCCGGGTGTGAGAACTTCATTTCGTCCGGGTGTGAGAACTTCATTTCGTCCGGGTGTGAGAACTTCATTTCGTCCGGGTGTGAGAACTTCATTTTGTCCGGGTGTGAGAAATTCATTTTGTCCGGGTGTGAGAACTTCATTTCGTCCGGGTGTGAGAACTTCATTTCGTCCGGGTGTGAGAATTTTATTCGGTTCAGTTGGAAGTGTTGTATTTAAACTAGGAGTGGTTGATCTAGGTAATGGTGTTGTAGGAGATCCATGTACAAGCGACAGGTTCAATTCAGAGTGTGTAGTATTGGAAGTTGCCGCAAATGTTGATACAGGTATGGGCATTGCATTTTGTTCAGCTGGAAGCGGCAGGGTTGTGCTTGAACTAGAAGAGTTTGATCTAGGTAAAGGTGTTGTTGGAGATCCAGGTGAGAGTGACATGTTCATTTTAGGTGGATGTGTTGTATTTGATGTGGAAGCCGACATGTTTCTTAGTTTGAGAATTTCATCTGCTTCAGAAACTGAAATATCAACAACCAAGATTGTATTATTACAAATGTATAGTATATTTACCAAGAAATATCTTTTAATTTTAATCTGTGGTAATCCAGCATTCATAAGTTATGCCTTTCTTTCTATTTTTTACAGGTACACTTGAATGTGCCTACTCTCAATGAAACCAATTTAAGTACATTTCAACACAAATTCACAATGGGCTGCATCGCCTTAGAAAAATCCTTAAAAGCAGGATTTTCCCCCCTCAAATTCTTTTAAATTAAAAGCATGATTTTCCCCCCTAAAATTCTTTTAAATCAAGCATTTTTTTCCCCTTAAAGTAGCATTTTTTAAGACTTTTTCTCCCAAATTTATGGAAAGGACTCCTTCCCCTATATGTGATTTTTGTTTGTCTGACTGGATTTTGTGTCACACCGACACAGAATAGGTCATATGGCGACAATCCAGCTTTTCCTCAGGTGCCCTTTCAAACATTATTTCAGGCATCTGAGTAGAACCACCGACATTCCGCAAGTTAGCTGGATAGCTTCCTCACATGACAGAATATAAAGTCCAAACCAGGATTTGAACCCACAGCAGTGACGGGCAATTGGTATGAAGTCAACAACCTTAACCACTCGGCCAGGGATGCCTCTCTCTATAGTATATGTGAAAAAAAGGCCATCTGAAGTATTGCAATGAGTGCAGCACACTCTTGTTTAGTTTTCAATAGCTTAAAACTGATATTGAATGAACAATCTAGCTGTTTTCAAAATCCTTACCAATCAAGAGATAAGTGGCTTACCTTTCTGTTTTACTAGAGAAGTCTTAAGAGTCAACTTGCTTTTCTTTTTAGTTCCATCATTTTCCAATTTATCACCTAAAAGCACAATGCAATAAATGCAAATAATCATATGCTGTCAATTGTTAAAGTGCCATGTTTGGTATTTTTATCAATTATATAAATATTTATTTTCATACCACTGGATGAAAATAAATCTTGTAATTATAGAAAAAAAAATGAATATCCTCTATATATTGGCTGGTTATTTAACTTGGCCATAACAGTGTTTTGCCAACCATTTTTATATATTTCTGTGAAGATTAGATCATGGAAATTATATTGTACTCACAGTGCACAAAATTACTGTAAAAATTCAAAAAATTCACTTTGTCACATTACAATCAACTGATTTGCTTACAAATTAAAGAATATAATCAAAATTGGTGAGTAAATTACTCAGTTGTTTTTAAAACAGCATAATTTGTTTTTACATTTTAAATATATTTGTTTCATGATATGCTGGTTCTGACTAGAGCTCACTTAAAATCCTAACCTTTATAAGCACTTGCTCTCCTTTTCTTGACAACTATACCATCACCATGATCAGGACCCTCTTTATCTGAAATAACATGAATCATGTAAAAATATTTTACAATTAAATGATTTGTAATGTATGTTTAACCACTAAATTTGGTACTTAAAAAAAATGATGGTGTAACTTAGTTTATTTACAAAACTTTGCAAGGACTCAGATCAAGTATTTTACCATGTTCAGACAGGTGTACTAAAGGACACCAAGATTTAATACTACAGCTGAAGTATCTGGCAATTTAATACTGAGAACCTTTCATTGAAGTAACAAAGTCTAACAGTATCATTTAACAACTGCTAATTGCTCATTTGCATAAAAGTATATATGAGCCGCGTCATGACAAAACCAGCATAATGGGTTTGCAACCAGCATGGATCAAGACCAGTCTGCGCTTCTGCAGTCAGGTCTGGATCCATGCTGGTCGCAAACCCATTATGTTGGTTTTGTCATGATGCGGCTCATATATAGGCAAAAAGCTGAAAATTTCATATTAAGTTGTGACAACTCCAAAAGTCTTCATCCTGATTTATATATGCATTAAATTTAAATTCACTTACCATTCTCCTTATCTCTCAATTCCTGATCAGCTTCATTCTCAGGAGTATCTAGAGCATTACGTTCTTCAAGTGCCTGTTTGAAATCCAACATCAAAGATTTCCTTGAAGCTAAAAAATCAACATAAAAAATAACAATTAGGAGAAATAATATTACCCAAGCCTTTATTTCACAGAAAAAGAGTTGAAACTTTAGCTCCTTTCAAGTCTATGTCTTTTCGCGCTCACATTATTATAACTTTGAAAGGAAAATTTGGTCATAAGCCGAAACGCTTTATAAGACAATAGATGTGATACCATAGATATATTTAAATATATGTTGCTTTCAACTAAATAAATATTAATTATGTCTAGACAGGCTTTAACATTTAAGCTCAAAGTATGAAATACAGTGTTGCCTTTGTGCCATTAAAACACCTTGCGGGTGAGGGAAAGCCTCGATATCAGATTGCCCTATTAGCAACTATTGTTAAATAAGTATCTTTAAATATTGGCTAAGTCCTATAACATAAGACATTTCCGTTCGTACTACATACAATCCAACGTAAAAAGGAACTTATGAAGAAGTCGATGACGTTGGAGTGTACATAGTACGAAAGGAAACGTCTTATGTTATATGACTAAATGTGGCTAAGTAAAATGACAGCTAAATAATAATGTAAATACATGTAGACTTACCTGATTAGCATTAACAATAATTCATGCAATAGAAATAAGTTCATGCACATTCTTGTTTGGTAGCATACTGAGTGGCATGCTGTACTTGCTCTCAACATAATTTTTACCTGTAAAATAATTAGAGATCTTTCAGTCAGGGGTTAATTTTTTATGGCTATTAATTCAAACTAGCCTCACTATGACTATAACACAGTGAGCAGGCAGCGTGTTCAATATAATCATTCACAGGGATGACTTCATGGTCTGTTAAGGAGATCTAGATAGATTTGGTCCGAAATTGGGCCAGTAAAGGCAGTATTGTTAAAATTTAATGAAAATTCATGCACTCACATGCAGGTTATATTTCCGACAAAAAAAAAGTTTGGTAAAAAAATATCGTTTCCAGAACAACAACATGAACAGTGATGAATAATTATAACTAATACTTACGTCCTACTGCTCTTATTAAGCATTCAAACTCCTCCTTCCCAAACTTGGCTTTTCCTTTCTCTCCGGCCTCGTAGTCATTCCAAGCCTTTTTTGGTTCAGTCACACACTTCAAATGTTCGATGCTTAATTTATTTTTATCTGTTATCCACTGAATTACAGCGTACTGCATCTGATCCATATTTAAATGTAATTATAATAGATCTAGACTATGGTAAACAGGAAAGATGTCGGTGATCAATTCAAATTACGCGCAGTCTACCCGGATTATTGTCAATACGCATGCGCTACTGTTATCGGCCGTCGGTAATCTACGGAATCATTCGTTGTAAAAAAAGAAACATTAACATTTTTTTCTAGTCATATTTATCTTCTAAAATCAGTATTTGTCTTCTTTTATTTTAGGAACCATAGATTTGAATAATATTTTTCTTATTTATTCCAAATCGTACAATAAAAATATCATCGGAATTTTTACGGAATAACTTTCCGGAAATTGCCGACGTAAGGGCGATAATAAAGTAATAACTGGAACAAGATAACAAAAGAAAAAATAAAAACAACTTTCCAGTGAAACTACAGATATATTCAGTTATGAATAGACCTGTTTGTTCCATATGTAATGTTTCCTTGAGCAGTAAACAGCGGCTGAACTCACACATGAAAGCAAAACATGGTGTAAACAGTAAGTTATATTTATTCAATATTTCGGATAGGTGCAATTTCGGACATAAGAAGGTATATTCGGCCGAATTTAACTCGGCCCATTGTTGAAAGGCAATTTGTAATTACAAATATAATAAGATACCGTCTGTTGCCAGTAACAGAAACCGTTTTTATCTAAAATTTGATAAAATTTTGAATGTATTTATAGACACTGCTTATAATCTCGCCTTGTTGATCTATTTTCTTTTGAAAGAATAATTATGTACAGTACATTGACCTTTTCAAAAACCTAGCTAAACACCGTTTTCCGGTACGTTACAGATTTAGCTCTGGGGAATTGCACATTATGAACTACATAACACAGTTACATGATATTTCTGGTTTTCTATCATTATTTACCGTTTAACTGTGAAACAAATTGATATGTTTGAAAATTATCAATATAACTTTAATATCTATTGCAAATTTTTCAAAAAATAAATTGTTTATAATTGGAAATCAATAAAATTTAAAAGGTCGTAGTGATAAATAGTCATAGATAGAGATATTTTCTGCATAAACCTTTGTATTTTCTTTATTTTTTGTATGGAATTATTCATACAAAGATATTTAATTATGTTCTTACAAAGAAATAACTGTTTTATTTCACTTTAATTAAAAAAGGGCCAAAAACATAGAGTTCGTTATTACACTCCATTCGGTGAATTCCCCAGAGCTATGTACAGAAAGTACCAGAAAACGGCGTTTAGCTAGGTTTTCGAATTCGTGAATTGTATATCAACAGAATAAATCCATATAGAAGGATATTTTATCATAAATCAGTATGGTATTCATGACAACCTTGATATAGTGGTCACCTGTCAATAGCGGGCATTTTACCTGAGCAGTTTCTTTACTCACAACTATAGGCAAGTTAGGCTACATAATATGACAAATCTACTTATACACTGAGTGAATTTTCTGTGATTTTTTTTTTTCAGATGAAGAACCATGTTACAAGCTGTACAAATGGGATCCAGCTAAAGTTGTACCAAAATCAACTTACTACAGACAGTTACAGTCAAAAGGTCCTGAAACATGTCAAAATGAATGTGACTCTGACACAGAGCAAAACCACAACTGTGCTGAATCGAAACAAATCTATAATGCAGATGGTAAATTAGGACAAAACTCAAATGAAGAAGAACCAAGAGAATATCAGAGGGATAAAGAGCAAAACCTGGAGTTAAGATATATTGATCATAATACTAGTCATGATCCTAAACATCAAGGAAATGATGAAGTTTCATCAGATGTAAATGGTTTGATGCAATTTGAAGACACAGATCACAGAGCTGAACATGAAGTAAACAATGTAATTTCATCAGAAGTAGATGGTTCAATCGAATTAACATACGAAGAGAGTGATTGTGGATTTTCATCTGATAATGATAGTCTTGACTCTGATGCAGTTCATTCTGACTCATCAGAAGCTCTGCAGGCAGATGCAAAATGTTTTACAGAAGAAGAAGAGATTTACATGTCTTTCTTGGCATACTCTTCAAGACATTGCTTGAACCAAGAGGCTTCTGCAGACCTACTTAAGTTGTTTTCCTTGAGTAATAAAAGTGATTCACTTCAGCTGTCTGGTACTAAACTGAAAGACTCTATTGGAAAATTTGACTCAAATATACATGATTTTTGTGCTCAATGTCAGACTCTATTTCCTGAAGACAAATCTGTTGTATGCTGCACAGCGGAACAGTGCCAAGGACTACGCTACAAAGGAACTGTTAATGAGCAGTATCTAAGAAAGAGACACTCATTCTTTGTATCCACAGACATTACAATGCAAATAAAAGACATTCTTGAAAAAGAAAATGTTTTTCAGACCTTAAAGAATTACAAAGAAGCTTGTGCTGAAACAGATACAATAACTGATATTCTGAATGGGGCATTCTACAAAAACCTGTTTACCATTGAAGAAAGTGAGGAAAGTATGACATGTACAAACATATCACTGATGTTCAATACTGATGGAGTACCTCTATACAACAGCTCAAAAGTGAGTATTTGGCCTGTTTACCTGGTTATTAATGAATTACCACCATCAACAAGATTTTCAAGACAAAATATGATTCTGTGGGGAGTGTGGCAATCAAAGGGGAAACCCAATTTTCATACTTTCCTGAAACCATTTGTAAAGGACATGATTCTTCTGAGAAATATCGGATTTCAAATTCAGATTCAGAAAGAGAACCTCAGTGTAAAAGCTACACTGATAGCAGGAAGCCTAGATCTTCAGGCAAAGGCTATGGTATTAAATATGACGCATCATAATGGGGAATATGGATGTAGTACTTGCGAAGAGCCTGGACTTGTTGTGCAGCAAGGTAGAGGTCATACCAGAGTCTATCCTTTCCGAAATGACAAGCCAAGCATGCGTAAATCGGAAGGTAATATATCATATGTATTGCTTTTAATCAATTATTGCTTAACACATAACTGTAATCTGTATGTTGTTGTTTCATCATTCAGTGTACTTGTCAGATAACCACTTTCAAGCTATAACTTTTTTAGCATGCATTATATTGAAAAAGAAACAGTTATTCTACATCTTGTAAAATATCAGTCAATAAAACCTTTAACTTCTCATATAGGTTTCTGACCTCAAAACACTTACTAAATCTTAAATCAATGTTGTAAAAATTTTATATATGTTTTATATATAATAAATGTGTTTTGCAAATGAAATACTAACTTACTGTTTTTATTTTTATAATTTTCAGAAATGTTGCAGTGTGGTATAAAGGCATCAAGGGAAGGAAAAACATTTAAGGGTATAAAAGGTGTGTCAGTGTTACATGCTATGCAGTGGTTCTGTTTAATTGTTTGCATTGTGCCAGATTACATGCATGGAGTTCTATTAGGAATGACAAAGAAGTTGATAACGCTTTTTCTTTCACCTGTGAACTCTGGACAACCCTATTTCCTTGGGAAATCTCTTAAAGAGATTGATAAAATCTTGCTTAAAATGCGGCCAAGTGATGCTTTAAGCAGACTTCCCCGCCAGTTAGAGCAGCACCACCACCATTACAAGGCATCAGAATTACAAAATTGGTTATTGTATTATTCACTGCCATGTTTAATCGAGTACTTGGATGAAGACTATAGAAATCACTTGGCGTTAATGATTGAAGGTGTATATCTACTGCTTTGTGACAAAATTACAACTCAAAGTTTAGACAGAGCAGATATACTACTGCATCAGTTCTATCAAAATTACGAAGACTTGTATGGTTTAAACAACATGACACTCAACCTACACAACTTGTGTGCACACCTTGCTTTCTATGTGAGGCAGTTGGGACCAATATGGGCATGGTCATGTTTTCCTTTTGAGGACATGAATGGATCTGTGTTGGAAAGATTGCACGGTACTGGCAATGTCTGTCAGCAGATTCTATGGAATGTTCATATACAAAAAAGACTTATAACTGATGCACAATTCATTTCAAATTCTCACAGAAAGCAGTTTGTGCAAAACATGTTACGAGGCCAAAGACAAGTGAAGGTGAAGTTTGTAGCAGAAAATTGCAAAATAGCTGGTGGTAGGTCTGTTATAAATCTAAATAATGAAAATGAATTTAAAAGGAAAATAGCCACAGTGTTAGGTATTGGAAATTATAGTGATATTGGAACAGTATTTAAAGTGTTAAGAATTATATTAAATGATCAGGTAATATACTCAAGAGAATACACAAGAATGGAAAGCAGAATATCTAATGTTGTAGTTATCAAAACTGACACAGACACTTTAACAGCTGCAGTGCAGTATTTTCTCTTGCATGAACAAACCAACAAGTGCATTGCTGTTGTAAAAATCATTGAGTTAGCTGGTCTGCTTCACCCAACAGTTCATCACATGAAACTATTTCAAAGTCTGAAAGATGAAGAGATTATGTTTGATGTTTGTCAGATAAAAGAAAAGCTTTTGCTTTTGGATGGAAATGAGAAATTTCCCTGTGTTGCAAGTCTTCCAAGTAAACTAGGTTTATGTGGATAATTTTAAGTAGAAATGAAAGCAAATATGTAATATAATTCTATCCTTTTACTAAAACCTGGATGCCTCATTTTATTAAAGGCTCCTGCAATCTTCATTTAATATGTGACAAAAACATTGTTTTTACAAATGTCAATATGTTATAGTGAATTATTATACATGTTTTTGAGTCATTATGCTAAGGTGAGGGATGAATGTCCCTTTCTTCATTTTATTCGTTTATTGATAAATGCCACACATATTAAATCATATGCTATTTTAAATGATTTAATTTATTTTTTATGTCCTATGAACAGGAAATAACAGGACTTTTTATTTATTACTTCACAGAAAGGCTTTTAAATAAAATCTCTTTCTTTTCTTAAGAAGAGGATTTTTTTATAACTAAAGTCCTGATAACTCCTGTCTTCAGGACATTGCTTATTATAAAAGTCCTGAGATTTCCTGTCTTTTCCTGTTGGTAAGATTAAAGTCCTGACAATTCCTGTTTTGTCCTGTTCAGTTTTTCAAAAGTCTTGAGTTATCCTGTGAACAAGACTTTTATTAAGAAGAAGAAAAAAAGTCCTGGGATAATCCTGGGATTTCCTGGGACTTCCTGACAACAGGAAATATTTTCTGCACGGGAAGTAAGGCAGGTAAAGGAATTTTAAGTTGAATCACACTTACAGGGTTGTCAGATTAATACTAAACAAAAAATGGCAATAGGCATTTCAACATTTTGATTTGCAACCTACTCGACATTTTTCCTTGTTAATAATATCACAAAGAAAAACAATATTTATCTAACAAAACAGTATATCCATTGTATGTGTGCATTGACAGAGGCCATATCTTAGATCTGAATATTTGAAGCATGATATTTTATTTGACCTAAAGTTCATGTCAAAGCCAAGAATATCAGGCTGATCTACAATGAAGACCTTTTCATTAGCAACTACTAATATCTGACCAACAGCACCAAATGTAGGACAATTGTCAGCATAATCATGTGCTTAAAACACACACCAACTTATACCTAGGACCCTTGATATCAACTTAATAACAAACATTTTACTCGGTTAACCTTTCACGCAAAAAACTAGTCAAGATGAAGACTACATTTTACTTCTTACAGCCTTTTCTTGTATTGGTCAATGACATTTGAAGGAACAAGCCTAACAATACAGTCTGTATAATACAACACTACTACCTTTTCCTTGACAAAAACACTTAAAATGTACTCCAGGGTACTATCTAATAATAGTAGGTCCTCTGGAATTTTATTTTTCAACAACTAATAGTTCTCAAAATCATTCTCTGTCATCAATACAAATTCACCCCAACCAGATGACTGAATTAAAACTTCTTGTCCTTTTCTTTTTTTTTAATCTCAATGAAAAACCTCACATGTGGATGGTTTAAAAAGATGGGGTTATTTCAGAATGGTCCTGCAAACCTCCTGCCAAAGTTTCGTCCTTAGGATCTGAGTTTTCTTCTTCAATGTCTTTTTGCAGCTTTTCTTCAACTTCCTCAAGTGTAGGGAATGCCTTTCTTTTAATATTCACCTGTAAAATGTTTGAACACAGACCAATTTTGAACAGTGGTCAGGTTGATTAGGTTTCTGATTCACATAAATGAAATGAAGGTATCTTCTAAAAAAAAAACCATAATATTTGAAGTGAGAACTGTAATCAATACTACTGAATACTATAACCATGTCAATAAAGATTTCATTTAATCAAGTTAGGTTTTGCTTTTACCTTTTTTAAAAATAAATAAACAAAACCTGTTTGCGACATGTTTTTCACTGAAAGTGCATTGCTTCTATGTATTGGTAAGTTTTACAGGTATCAAAGTCCTCAGTACTATTAAATCAATTTGTTTGTGAAAACAAAATGAAGCACTATATCACTTGTGCTTTTCACATTTACAACATTTGTACTGGTTCTATCACTGACATTCACTTTCTTAACAGGTCAAGAAAAAAGTAAAACTCAGGATACTTGATTTCAATTTGCTGTATGTAAGCATCTAACCTACAGTGTAAAATCTGTGAAATGGCTTTATACCTATTACCTGACATGAGGGGCAAATGTATACATGTGGTTCTTCCTTTTCATCAAAACCCATGCAGTCAGGATGGTACCACTCGTTGCATGAATCACAGTGCCAATATAGCCTAAAAACAAAATATTTTTCCATAAGCTGCTTTTTGTTCTCAATATACTTAGCCTATACTATTGAAATAAAAGGATTTGTGTATATGTATATTTTGTTGCATTTTCAAGATGAAACTTCAGTTCATGCATAACATATCGGCCCAATCAACTTGTTTTTTTTTACCATTACACACAAGTTAATCATCTGTTTCATGCAAATTACACAGATTATATTACAGATTAGACTTTATCAGGCACTAATATGTATTGTTTAAAAAAATTAAATGATACATTTGCAGTCACTTCTTACTCACAATACCATAAAAATGTAAAACTTATAAACCTCTTACCTACCATCATTCCTTTTTCTACAGACACAACAAATTCTGCTAGACTTCTTCTGCTTCGAGTAGAAAAACGGAGATTTCCTCTGAAAAACCAGTGACAAATAACTTAAGTATTGCAAGCAAATCATATGTCCCCCTAAACTGAGATTTTAAAGGCTTTTTATCTTTAACAAGTCAAGGGCCACTCTGCATTTCTTATTAAGAGAACTATGACAGATATGGTCAACCTAGGGCTACGGTTATTGAGTGGAAAGTGTGATTTCCTTACTAACTGATGGACGGACAAAACAAAAACAATATGTCGCCCCATGAATGGGGGAGACATAATGATCCAAAAGAACCCAGTCACAAACCATGTGCTGCATGGTCATAATTAAGGTGACACTTATTCATGGTGAATTAATTTCATGAAAAAAATGCTTGACTGATCAATAGTTCTGTCAGTGCAAAGAAAATGTACATACATTAAATTTGTTTTACATACATATTGTAAACAAAAATTGACACTTGTCTGGAACTAATTCAATGTTTCTTCACAAACACAATCCTTTCAGTGAGCTTGCATTGAGCTTAAGATTTTTGTTCATGTACTAATTTTAGTTTAAAAATAGTCACTTTGGACAAAATTTTCTGTACAACATAAGAACATATATACATACATGGATGTGTTTCTTCATTTATTTCCTTAAACACATACACATTTATTGGTTAATTCATAAAACCATGCTTGGTTCATTGTATTAGCTCTTAAGAGAACTTCCACAATTGTAATACAATAATTTATACATTATTACTCTACCTGGAAATACTTTTTTTAATGAAGAAATTTCTCGTTGTTCAAAGTCAGTCGGCCAATACTCTGGGTTCTAGCTGGAGTTCCAATCTGATACAATCTGCAGGGCTCCTGTGATGATTGCAGTGTTGTCCTTGGCAACAACAAATGAGGCTACAACCTGGTAGCCAACGTTTGTTCACACACAAACAAATGACGTACTTCTCCTGTATGTCCAGTCTAAAAGACATAACTCTTTACCATACTTATGTAGAAGGTTATTTTGGAAGGCTGTTTGAAAGACGAACAGCAGTTGGTCTCTCTCCGACCTATTAAATAAGGGCTTTGATTTGAAGAAAATTTTGGGCATGTGACAGACTACAATTGGCCTCAGGTGGATCTTAAGGTGACATGTAACCAATGCTGAAAAGTCTTTTACTCTTTCTCATTCCATTGAGCTGTTGCAGCACTTGGAAATCAGTTGCCATGGTAACAGGAAATTTAAGATTGAGCATGTTCCAGAGGTAATGGTTCAGTCAACACATGTGCCAAGTTTCATCAGTATAGAAGCATTTTTCATAGTTTTATAGCAGTTGGAACTTGTCACAGGAGGCCTTTCAATGAAAACGGCCATTTTTCAAAATATGCTCTTAGGGTAAAAGGATTATATGATTTTGGCTTCCTCAGGGCAGACACAATCAATAGCTGACTGAAAGTAATTTTGTTGCGTATCTTCTGACAAGGTGGGGGGTTGTTTTTGTGTTCCTGGTTCCGGTAGTGACGTGATGACATGTTGTTGTGTTTCTGGTTGCGACAGTGACATGATAGCAGGTTGTTGTTGTGTTCCTGGTTCTGGTAGTGACGTGATGATAGGTTGTTGTGTTCCTGGTTCTGGTAGTGACATGATGACAGGTTGTTGTGTTCCCGGTTCCGGTAGTGACGTGATGACAGGTTGTTGTGTTCCTGGTTCCGGTTGTGACGTGATGATAGGTTGTTGTGTTTCTGGTTGGGATAGTGACATGATTACAGGTTGTTGTGTTTTTGGTTGCAAAAGTGACGTGATGACAGGTTGTTGGTCTGTTCCTGGTTCCGGTAGTGACGTGATGATAGGTTGTTGTGTTTTGGTTCCGGTTGTGACGTGATGATAGGTTGTTGTGTTTCTGGTTGGGATAGTGACATGATTACAGGTTGTTGTGTTTCTGGTTGCGAAAGTGACGTGATGACAGGTTGTTGGTCTGTTCCTGGTTCCGGTAGTGACGTGATGATAGGTTGTTGTGTTTCTGGTTGCGATAGTGACGTGATAACAGGTTTTTGTTGTTGTGTTCCTGGTTCCGTTAGTGACGTGATGATAGGTTGTTGTGCTTCTGGTTGCGAGAATGACGTGATGATAGGTTGTTGTTGAGGTTCTGGTCCGGGTTGTGATGTGATCGCAGTTGTTGTGTTCCTGGTTTCGTAAGTGACGTGATGATAGGTTGTTGTGTTTCTGGTTGCGAGAATGACGTGATGACAGGTTGTTCTTGAGGTTCTGGTCCCGGTTGTGACGTGATCACATGTTGTTGTGTTTCTGGTTCCAGCAAGTTTTCTTTGTGGTTCTGGTTTTGCGGACAAACCTAGATAAATGCTAGTGCTTTAAAGAAAATACAGGAAACAAACAACATTTATAATGCTACAGCAGTAATAATTTATAAAACTGTTACATCAGTCAGAACATTGTTGGCATTTATCACCATCTGGCACATCTTCGACAAAGCTGTAAAGAACGAATCCTCTACATCATCAAGGTTTTTTTATCAGGCAGGCTAGCCCCGGTGCATAGTTCAGTGAATGCGGCCTTCAGTGCGTTGGTAAATATCCTAGCCACTTTTACTTCAGATGAATTCGCCTCCGTGGTCGAGGGGTTAGAATCGATGGCTTCTTATCCAGTTACCTCTCTGGCGTGGGTTTTGATCCCCGGGAGATGCTTTGGTAGTTAGCGCGGAGAAAGGTAGTCTAGTACAGATGTAACTTTCCAAGAACGATGGTTAGGAAACTACCCGCCTATATGACTGAAATACTGTTGGGAAAAGGCGTAAAATGAAACAAACAAAGTTAGTTGCAAGCCTACTGTGGCAATAGAGGGATATTCGACAGAATAAGTTCTGCCACATGTAGGCACACATTGTTGCTATTTAACTTTTTCAAGAAACAGCGTTTCTCCTTGCAGGCTTCATATTGGGTGATGAAGGATACCCACTCTCCTGTCGTTGTGCCAGGTGGAGGTGTAGCACTTTGATTCGGGGTCTCATCATCGCTGTCAGTAATTTCAGGCATGTCTTCTGTAAGGAGCTGAAATGTTACATTTAATATATGTAAAAGCAAGGTA